CAAAGTCATCGGATAATCGAGGATATTGTACACACAACATTATTACATATATTATTCATATTTCGTAAAAGAATTTTAGCTAGTAATATGAATAATGATCCACTAGTTTTAATGTTCACAGGGAAGCAGGGTCGGTACAAGGGTCTTGTCTCCTTATTCCTGAATCTATGATACAGTGCCCCCGCTCTACTACATTTCAATTATCATAAGGTAATATTCATATAAAATAAATTTTATTGTAACTTAATTATGTACAATAATGGATCATATACAATATAGGTGAACAATTCCGCTTGGTTCGTTTGAACGGGGCTAGCCTTGATTTTCTCTTTTATGTCAAACCTACTTCCCATCTGAGTGGTTTCCTGTGGAGCCCTCCCCTTGGTTAGGTTAGACAAGCGTTTGTGTACCTAGTTAATGTGAGTAAGTGTTGTTCCCGGCCTGCCCCCCGGCCACATCTTTAATTAGGATCCAGCCTGAGATTCTCAACCTCCCCAGTTTGTTTTTGGCCCCTTTTTATCTCGACTGGGTCAGCTTTATATTTTCCCATGCCCCTATGATCTTTTTAATTCTTATCCCATTCCCTTAGCGAGAGGGCTGCTTGATTTTGTCCAATGGACAGAATACAGCGGCCTCTCTATTTTGATGGTTGGACGGCCCTACTAACATCAGTTATGTTTAATTTGATTTGTGTTAACTTTTTAGTTTGTTATTGGGTTCATCTCCCTCCCCTCTCATTTTTTCATCATAGAATTTTATATATATTTTAGTATCATTAAATTTTTATGGCACGGGACGCGTTTTGTAGGTCTCCCTAGAGAGAATGTGGTATTATGGTGTATGGAGGATTGATTGGTAACGGACGTGTTCTTGTGGTGAATGTGGAAATTGTAATGTATGAATGGGTCGTGAATCGAATTAGCTAGGTATAGGATAGTTAGTGAAGACCAGCCTCAACCCCTCCCCTTTTCAGGCCTTGTGCCACAATTGTAATTTTTTATAATAAATATTTAGAGACATGTCATAATAGATCATTCCATCTTAAATAAATCAATGTTTTGCGGCAATGTTTTTTTTTTTTACATCAACTTGAAATTTTTTTTGTTAAAATGTTGAATAATTTTAGCCCATTCAACATTATGAATAAAAATAGTAAATTTTATAGTGTTTTTTTTTTTTTCTTTTTTTTTTTCGAGTGTTAGCATCAGCAAAGAAATTCGCGGATTTGGACGAAACAAAGAAAGAACCGAGAATGACGTCAAAATCGGCGAAATTTTTTTAGTTTAATTTGTAGCGTATATGGATCTAAGTAGAATAATATTACTAATACAGCGAGGGTCAGAAAGCATTGCCCGGGACCCTCACTCATGTTTTTATAATAGATATTTACCTTGTCTACCCAGTGAGACGTGATATGACACAAGGTCGGGTTTATTGTTGAGAATCCGAAAGCATACAACCGGGCCAAAAACAAAAAAAATTCCCGAGCCACCACGATCGTCGGTTCCGATGGCCTCGGTGGCGACTACCGTTCCCTCTATCTAGGGCGATGAGAGGGCTCAACCTCGGGCAGCTGTCCTTCAGGTCTGAGTATTTCATTGGGAACCTCGCAGTATTATTTTCCTCAGTTGCGCCTCTGTCCTCCGATAGAGCCACAACTCTGTCCAAAGACAGACGCAACTGAGAGATGATAAACCCTAGCCGGGTTCGAAGGTAGCGGGCATTTACCCTGGTTTTCTCATTGAGACGGGATATGACACAAGGTCGGTTTTATTGTGAGGAACCCGAGCGCGTACACTCGGGCCAGGAACAAAAATTCTCCGAGACCCCGCAATAGTCGGTTATGCTGACCTCGATGACGAGCACCGATCCTTCTTTCCAGTGCCATGAGAGGGTGCAACCTCGGGCAGCTTTTTCCCATGCCTGGGCACCTGACAGATGTGATTTTCCTCAGTTGGGCCTCTGTTCTCCGATGGATGCATTTGAGTTGCACTCTGCCCGAAGACAGACGCAACTGAGAGATGATAAACCCTACCCAGGTTCGGAGGTAGTCTGCGCCGGCCTTGCGAAAAAGCCCACATATATCAATTTGGACAACTTGGACAGATCTATATGTTAATATCAATCGATTTCGCAATGACTTTAAATATCAAACAACGTCTTCAGTTGGTTCATACTTACCTGAAGTCCCACTGTACATACCGGCTCTTTTCCACTTGAAGATACGGAAAAATTGTACCAGAAACATCCCCACCTTGTTGAATGGTCCCATTGTTCGAATCAAAGTGTTGAATACGGATTTGTCAGCCAAGGTTGGATCAGTGGCTACCCACGTAATATGGGGTAAGTTCCAAAAAGCAGTCAAATAACCGACTGGAATGTTTACTGTAATACACACAACAGCGGAAATTACTCGACGGAAACTTACAGCTGGACACGCATACATGTATACATATATTGTAAGGTACATTGCTAGGTAGGTATTGCAGATTTTGCAAGCATATCAATTCTTCTATGAAGAACGTGGGACTGCTGTCATGAAAATTACTATTCAAAATCTCAGCTTTTATCAAATTTCGAGCAACAAGGAAGCACTAAGTTCCTCACACATACAGGCATACACGCACACAGATGCATGCACACATACACAAACACACACATACACGCACGCATACCATATACACACGCACACATAGACGCAGACACATTCACACGCACGCATACAAACACACCCACAAGAGTGTGTCTTAATGTTGAAAAAAATTCAAACAATTATTGAAATTTGAACCACTCAACATTCCACGAGGAAAGTGCGCTCTAATGATGACGTCAGTATTTTCAGATTTTACAAGGGCATAAATGTATTGTTAGGAAGATCTTAGGTCTGCGGGACTTGGAAATTACTATTCCAGCATCCTGGTCTTTACCATTGTTCGTACACCAAACAAAGGAATAGATAGGTTCGCCTATCGCCACCCCTTATTTCCTGTTTTGATTAGGTTTATTTCTGTTTGATTAAATTTTCATTCTAAAGTTTTCTCATTCACTTTCACTCCCAGTAACCGCTTTGCGTCTTAGTGGCATTATCGCCTTTCTTGGAGTAAAATGATTAAAAATAAAAGCACGTAAGTTACTAAGTCTTCAAGCAAACCTCTCTCTCTCTCTCTCTCTCTCACATTTTGTTACTTGTTATTTGAATAGACGCTCCATTTTATTTAAAATGTATTGATTGCGTCTACTGGCCTGCTCACTCGAAAAAAATGTGTCCTCCGGCAGGATTCGAACCTGCGTCCTCCGGCAAATCCGATGTGCTTTAACCGCTCGGCAAAGAAGAGTTTCACAATCAAGCAAGGTTCAGACCTTGGTTTCTCTTGCGAAAGGGGACCCAGGTTCGAATCCTGTCAGAGGACACATTTTCTTTAATATGGTTTCTCGAGTGTGCAAGTCGGTAGACGAAATAAATACCGGTTAAAATAAAACGGGGCGTCTATTAGAGTTACGGGTATCGACTAAAAATAACGGTTGAAGTAATAAAAACATGTTGAATTAAATAAAAACAATATGAATCCTTTATAATCCTTTATTATTTATTAATGAGTCTAATTTGATAACTTAAACGTTATTTCAAAATTTTTAACAATTCTTTTTCGTTTTTTCTATCCCTTTTGTTATTACGGAAAAAAAAAAAACTAAATGAAATCGGCTAGATTAAAAAAAAAATCCCAGCATCCCTCGTTCGTGCGCATGTGTAGTCGCACCCACATAACAAATTCAGTCCGATGAAGTTCTAAAGAACGAAACGCGTCACACGAAAACTTTTTTCATTTTGTCATACATTTTCCTCATATATATATATATATATATATATATATATAGCCTATATTATGGCAGCATGTTTTCATTAAGACATGTTTTATTGAATAAATTAGACAAGTTTTATTTACTTCTTTTCAACTGGGTTCCTTTCATATTCACGGACAAACTTTTTGGTGTCATTATTAAAGAAAGAGAGAAAATTACCGTGTTGAAATCGGCTAGATTAAAAAAAAATTATAAATTATTATTTATTTCAAGTACTTTCGATATTAGCACAATGTCATGATCAGTGGTTTGTTTTTTTTTTTTTTGAGACAAATATTGTAGTGTTCATCATTTTTAAAGACAACATTGCTGTGTTCATCTGAAAGAACTCAGTTTACTAGTGAATTGAAGAACTCGGCGTTCTTCACTTCACTAGTAAAAAAAAATTAAACTATATATATATATATATATATATATATATATATATATATATATAAATCAAGAACAATATTAGGGAAAAATGTATGACAAAGTTTGTGTGTGTGTATATTTATGCTCTACTTTTGTATAGAGCACTATTTTTTAAAATAGTTACAAAAATACTAAAGAACTTGGAATTATTTACCTAACGAGTTCTTTCCTATTTTCTATATACACACACACACACACATATATATATATATATATATATATATATATATATATGTGTGTGTGTGGAACGTTTTATTGTTGAAAGAAATAGAAACTATTATTGAAATCTGAGTCAGTCTACATACCATGAGAGAAGGGCGGCCCAATGATAACATCAACATCCTCGGTGTATTTCAGTTTGACGGCCATACCAGCTCCATTTACTGGGTCTCCCTTTGTGTCCCGCCAGACGACGCTGCGAATGAAAGAAAAACCAAAAACTCTCTCTCTCTCTCTCTCTCTCTCTCTCTCTCTCACCGACCAACGACCCACCCAAACGCTTAGTTTTAAAAGAAGAGTTATGTTAACTTTTGTAGGTGGACGCAGGATCGAACCCTGCCAGTAAACTTCTTTAAAATTCTCAAGTGTACAGGCCAGTGGATATAGATTTACACTATTTAAAACAAGTGGCATCTGCTCACACAGTAAGTATAACGTTTAAAGTAACGAATTCTGGAAACTCGAGTCACAATGAAAAATTAGATTTAGAAATGTTCCTTAAATTCCCTTTGAAACACCTGTTCCCGTATGATCACCGAAGTTAAGCAACGTTAAATCTGATCAGTACCTAGATGGGTGACCGCTTTGGAATACCAAGTGCTGTAAACTTGAATGTGTGGGTGGTGTAATGGATAATGGCTTGGAATTGTTAATCGGAGAGCTGGGTTCTAATTCCAGTTGGAATCGTTATAGTTATAGTCACTTACGCGCAAATACACTTGGGAAACTATCTCTACTACCCCCCAGCTATGGGTTAATTAGCAATACTTGTATCACTAAACCATTATCATCCCCCCAAAATTCTTACAATCTAAAAGGATTGATAAGCCGTAGAAAACGAATCAATCACTCAATCAATACTTTGTATTATTGCAAGGGGTAGGTAACCGCTGCTGGTAACATCACTGCTACTATTTCTGCACCTAATGTTGTCTTAGTTTTGCTGCTCTTTTGTTTTAAAATTATTCTTTAAAAGGAGAAGAGTCGTAAGAAATCGTCTGAAAAATAAATTTCATTCGACGATTTTTTTTTTTGCAATAAACGGATTTATACTAAAAATATATTTGCATAGTTTATATTGTACTTAAATAATCTGATTCTTGTTTACGATTACTAAGCTAGTATAGTATGTTTATAGTCTTAATCCTGTTTTGTGTAAATGTTTTTTTTATACTATGTAGGTGGGTTAGGCTTTAAAACCATACAGTCAAACAACACAGAAAGAGATAAAAATATTATTCAGGATGTAGATACACTTAGCAATTAAGTAACTGACGCCTTTATCATATGAGGCACGGAACATATTCCTTCATTGTCTTTATTAGTAGTGGATATATTTTTCTCTTGAAGATTCGGTTATTGTTCAACAATATTTGTTTTTTTATAATGTCATATCCCCTCAGGATGTAGACAATCATGACTCATTAAAAGGAAAAGGAATCTGTACTATCTGTGAATTGTCATGACTTCCCGGAAAATATAGAGGAGTGGTTTCCAGTTGCCTTCCAAAAGGTTTGGAAGTCAGAGAAGTCCTTCAACCCGGTTTTGAATTCAGAATAGTTTTCCAAGATTCCTTTCCTTATGTGTGAATTGCCATGACGTTCTTGGAAACGAGAGTGGAGTGGTTTCCCGTTGCTTTCTCCACGTTTTCAGATTCAGATTTTCTTTTCTTAGAGTAGTTGCCACCCTGGATTAGAGAGTCCAGTCTACCCTGCTATTTGATATATATATATAGTCTAATGGTGATTATGAAGATACAGCAGCTCGAAAAACTCACTCTGATCGTTCTGATAAGAAATGAATTCCTGAATTTGTTGGTAAGGACCTCAGACTCAACACAAGGCCTACATCAAGTGTCTTGAGGAGGTAGTGCCGACCTGGGTCAAGAGGGTGGCTGCTGGAAGACCTATGCCACACAAGCAGGAGAACTTAGTTATGGCTGTCCTACAATTTCTGCGGCCACATCACCCCTTACATCTGGCCGCCTAATTTACCTAGACTGCAGCCCTATTGATTATTATGTGTAGGGCGCAGTTGATCGAGAGACCAGCAAAACTCCTTGTAACAAAAAGATGAACTGAAAGCAAGGATTATGGCAGCATTCACTCACTTAAACAAGGAGATCATCCAAAAGAGCTACAGGAGATTCCGAGGTTGTCTGGAGGCCATGGTTGAAGCCAATGGCGATTTTATTGTATAAATTTACACTATAGTATTTCAAGATATTTTTGTGTAATTTTGGTAAATATATCTGTTAAAATGAGATGTCAGTGTTATTTTCATTTTTGCGTAATTCAGACAATTTATCCATCGCACCCTGTATATGCAATTGGCGCAATATGGCGCTTTCGTTTTACAGAATGATACAAAAAATACCAGGAACATATGAGCAATAACGAAGTTTTTGTGAAAATTGATGCAAAAAGGACAATTATACTGAGAGAAAGACAGACAGATTAAATGATATCAATAAGGATGATTTTTTATTTAAAACTTTCCACTTTCCATGAATTATTAAATAAAAAAAGGACATTTAAATTTAAAATAACTAATCTAAAGAGCTTGTCTAAATGGTTGGCAGAACAGGGATTAACAAAATAGACAAACTTAGTAAAGGGCTATAAAAGGAAAGTTTTATTCATACAAGAAGAAGGCTGTTAATTCAAATGCTTCTTTAAAAGTCAGCAGGGAATTTTGTTCATCAATAAGAACGCTCTTAACCAATGGGATTTTCTTTTGAATATAATTAGTATTTCTTAATATTTTGGACGTTTTTAATCTTTTAAAATTTTTCAGTCTAACATGCATGAAACAGATAATTATATAGAAAAAAATTTATATATAATATAACCTGGATATAATATAAAGATGACATATAAGATAAATCTATAAATATAAATATATATATAATAATTATAACTATAAGGACATAAATAAATATAGAATTTTTATTAAAATATATAAAATATATATATATATATATATATATATAATAAATATATAAATATAATGTAGGTAGGTTTGCCTATTGGGGCGAAATTAAGATATTATATATAATATTATTTATATATGGGTTTGCTTTATATATTAATTTGTCATATATATATACTATATATTCAGAGGATAATAGGAAATATTTAATATAGAATATATTTAATATATAATATTTACTAATTTGGATAATATATAATATATATAATATCAATATAATATATTTGAATATTATATTATATATATAATTTTTTTATATATATAATGACATCTTAACGAATTTCTGCCGTTCAAATATATATAATTAAATATATATAAAATATTTATATTATTTCCATATGTTATATAATATATTTATATAATATATTTTAGTTTTATTTGGATGACATTCCTTTACCATTTATACAGTTAAAACTTTCGCCATTCCTAAATTACATTCAAATTTAATAATAATATCCTTTAAAAAATCTGTCTTAAAATATAATGATTAAATTTAAGATTTATTTGATATTCCTCCCGTATAGGAATAACTGGTTCAAGAAAAAAAAGAAAAGAATGAAAATTTTTAAAATATATCTGATATTTAAGATTATAACTCACATTTGATATTATATTCGGCCAAATTTTTGATCCGCTAAATGGTCCTGTCTTTTAGAAAAATTTCACCACTATAATTTCATAAAAGTAGAAATCTATGTCTCCGATTTGGTAGATTTGAGTTCCAATCATCGAAAAGTCGAGGAAAAGAAATCCAAAATTGACGTTAAAATAACCTTCGCATTGATTTTAGAAAATTTCTTTAAATGTTTGGTAACGCCCATCAAACATGAATATCAGTTGAAATTGTAAGAATTTCTTGCAAATTAAAATTTACGACTAATTAAGTTAAAAATTCTATTTTAAAATGATGTATGTATAGGGTCATTTAAAATTAATGAGTAAACATTTTAGAAACAATATTTCTGATAACAAAAGATTGGATTGGTTTTACAAAAAAGATTTTATCTCCATCCATATGCCCGTTCCTGCACCAATTACATTAATCTTTAATTCTTATTTTCTCAAGCCATTCTGAAGAAAGAATATATATATATAACAAAATATAAATATATATAATTACATTCAGATATTTACTATATATCTTTTTTAACCGGTAAATAATCGGATAAAATTACCAAGTTTAAAAAAAATGTACATATGGTTTAAAAATTGTAAAATATTATTAAATGGATTTTCGTTATTGGAATGGAAATTTATAAATTTACGTTGACAAAAAAAATTTTAAAATACAGATAATTTATTATATAAACAATTTATTTAAAAAAGAGACAGAAAATGAATTGCCTTCATTTTTTCCATCATCCCAATTCAAATAAGTTAAATACTGATAAAAAAAAAGTCCCATTTTTTTCATTACAAAAACTTTTTTTTTTTAGTTAGATTTAATTAATTTAATTGGTGAATGTTAAATATATCATTATATAAAGCATTTTAATGAATATTTTCAGAAAAATATTAATTTTCAAAAATGAAATTGTATAGCAATCCATGGGAAAAAAAATATAAAATTTTCATAGTGCACATTCACCTTCTTCTGTTAGAACAAAATTTTCTTTCTATAGAGTAAAAATAATATTCTATAATTTAATTCTCAATAATGATTTAGTGATATAAATTTCCAAAATTATATTTATTTCCGACTTAATTAAACTTTATTATTTTTCAAAAAATGGATTAAAAACCTCAATTTGTTTATAAAAATTTTAAAAATTTAAAATGAAAAAAATTTACAACGATATAAACTCCAAAGAATACCTATTTTACGCTTATATAAAATATCTTTAAAGCATTTTTCTTTATAAACTACCTTCTTTTCTATTTTCTGGTCTGAACAACGATCTATTAGTTATCCAGTGGGCATTCTAAGAAACGTTATAAATATATTTTCACGTCTATATGAAAATATAAAAATACATATTATAGTAAAATGCTCTCCAACATATTTATTTTATATCGTAGTTGATAATTTTAAAAATCAAAATTAGTATCAAAATATTTATATTGGAGTGAATTTGTAGATAATATATATGATTTCAAACCGTCGTAAGCTCTATCCTGAAAATTCAAAATGGTTTTTAGCCAAAAATTTGTCTCAAATAAAGAGGAGTGTTAGATTTTTCTTTTTTTGTTGGTAACTTCAATTTTTAAGACCTTCAAGAAAAAACCCAAAGAGTCAAATGGGAAGATTGTTAGAGAATAATTCAAATTGGGGTAAGATCCTGAAGGACAAAAAATACAAGTATTTTAAACAGTTAGACATAAATTTGTAAAAAAAAATAGCAGAAAAAATCCATTGAGAAAAAAACGAGGACAAGAAATAATGTTTGTTGTTTATAAATAACCCCATAATTGAGGTTATATCATGTTTATGGCAAACAATTGAGTGTTGTCTCAAAAACATTTATAGCACCAAAGGCTATCTTTCAAATGTATTCCAAAATATTTTTTGACCAAAAATACAATGGAAAACACAATGACCAATAATGTCTATTATGAAAGTTTAATTTTAAACATGTATATAAAGAAAAACAGAAATAAACCAGAATGGTAGACAA